GTGCCCACTGCGAGAATGGTACCCTGGTCAAAATACGGGATGTGAGAGATAGAACAGCGTGAGAGAAGCAGCACGTACCTTTTGGACCCATGCGACGGAGCTGACAGTGTCACCGACGTTGGAGAGGTCGCATAGTTTGGCGACTGCTGCGTTGTGGGCAGTCCAGAGGTATACACAAGCGCCGAGACCGACGCCGAGAATGTTAGTTGTGCTCCAGTCTACGAGGTTGAGGTAAAAATCGTCTGCTAGATCGGGGGCGTCGAGTACGCGATATGGTGTTTTGCAAACGGCACGGGGCTGACGACGAGGGGATTCGAGCAGCTGACGTGACGAGGCGCGTACGGGGGACATGGAGTAGGCTTCGTCTGTGGGTGTGTCTAGACGGCGAGTGGGGGTGGGTGGGCCTGAAGAGGGGGAGGTGTAGTGGAAGATGCGGCGTCGTGTTGGCGTGGATGGGGGGATAGACGCGGGTGGAGGGCGAGACGGGGAGGGGGGTCCGTTCGGGGACGGGGGCGTGACTTCCGTGTGCAGGATGGACGTGAAGATGGCATTGGCTTGTTCTGTTACAAGGGGGTCAGAGAGACGCGGACAGAGGGGAGCCTGGACGTGCCTTTGAGCGCGTCAGACTCTGAGGGTATGATGCGTTTTGAGGGCGTGCATGGGCCGGAGTCGTCCATCAGATGGTACGACGTCCGCATGTCGCCCGTGTCGCGGGTTGGCACGAACCGATCGCCATAGTTTGTCGGACGACTGTCCAGCGGCGAGTCTGGCCCGGTGCTATCACTGGTCGTCGTCGTTGTCGTCATTGCTGGCGTTGCGGTCGAGCTTGTCGTTGCCGTGGTTGGCCGCGAGTCGAGCGAGGGCGTGTTCAGTCCGAGTATTCTGGGCCTGGTCCGCCTCGGTGCGCCGTCGTCGTCGCCAGCCTCGTTGTGGAAACCACGCAGACGCTTTCCAAACGGCGAGTTTTTGAGGGCAGACATCGCATCACAGCTGCAGCTGAGGACGACAGGAACGAGAATCGACGCGTCGATTACGTAAGGGTTGCTCTGGGGTTAGGGTTTCCTATTTCGTCACTGCCATCTGTCCCCACGCTGAGTTGTGTGCTCACGGATACACCGCCGGCAGCGATGAATGTGAGCGGGCCCGGCGTCGACCTGTCACGAAGACTGACTTTGTTTGCAGAATCTGCTCAGGACGCTGACTGAGAACCAGCGCAGGCCATCGCCTGACCTGAAGCTGCTTCTCAACACTGTCAAAGATGTCCGCGTGAGTGTCTCACTCCAGTCACCCCCTCTTGACCGTCTGTCATCTCGCTTGCACAGCGTCTTGCATTGGACAGCAAGGCTTCAGACCCGTTCTACGAGTCGCTCGAAGGTCTCCTCCTCGACCTCCGGACAGTCACAATGGTATGTCACTTGTCCTTGGGTTGTCCGCCATCGTCCCTGACATCCTCAAGGACAATCGTGACGCTGAAGCGTTCCTCAAACCCGTCTCTAGGGCGGAGGTACCAGACTATCACGACGGTAGTACTCTTTTCGGTGTGCTGCCCGTCCATCCCTTCGTCTCACCCGCACCTGCAGTCATATCCAACCCCATGGACCTCCAGACCATGCTCAAGAAAGTCAAGCAGAAGCACTACAAGTCGAAGCGCGAGTTCAAGGACGACCTAGACCTCATGTGGTCAAACTGCTTCACCTACAACTCTACAAAGGTAAACCGTTTCACTCCTCGTCCTCGATCCTGCTGACTGCACTGCACTCCCTTCTCTCACACAGGATCACCCTCTCCGTCTTTGCGCGCTCCGTCTCAAGAAAAAGGCAGAGAGACTCCTCATGCACATCACAGACAACAGAGATCGCATAGACCCTCCTGTTCCCGGCGAACCATCTCACCATGCCACTCGCCCCGTCGCTAGACTGAAGCTCAACGGCTTGACGCCCCACGATAATAAAGACCGCGATACCACGCCTAATCATCTTCGGTCCCAACTACCCGGAACAACGTCGACCCGGCACACCACCAACGGACATTCCAACAGACTCTCATCGACGTCCACCACAGAGTCACGACCTCGAAAACAAGTCTCATTCGCCGATTCGCCAGCACTGATACGCACACAACAAGGCATGTCTGCATTCCGCGATCTCGACCTGGGCTTGGCACAGTTACTCGATGCCACCGATTTTCAAATGGGAGAACCTGGACCTTCCACGCTCTCACATGCACGGAAGCTGGCAGATCGCCTCAGACATCATGTAATGCCACCCGAAGTGGTCGACGACGAAGACGCATATAGCGACATTAATACAGACTCGGACGTCAAGATGGAAACACTGAGCGATACAGGTGAAAAGCGCAAGCTGTAAGTTCCCCCCTCCTCCTTCGCACACCCCTACCGTCACAACCTGACATCATCCACGTAGCATGGCTCCTTACTTGCGACAAGCGAAACGACCGCGCTTAACACCACCAGACTCGGGTGACGAGATAGACGCTAACGCCGAGACACTTCTTCGACCGCCGCGTAGTCACGGAGAACTGATAGATTTATGGTGGAATGCCGCTCAGAGCGATGCGCTTCTTGCCAATGGATTGCCATGTCTACCCTCAATAGCGTCATCTCCGTTACCTCAACGACCGCCACCTCGCAAGGCTCCAATCGTCAATACTCCTGTCACGACCGCAACCGCACCATCGGCCCCTACGACACCTCGGAAACGTCGAGTTCGTCCAGTGCCGGGGCAAGAACGGTCAGAGACACTACTCTCTCTCATGAATACCAACATCAAGACCCTCAAACGGGTACGGAGGACACATACTAAATTTGCAGCTCTTGGGTTTAATGCAGGAGAAGACGGCGCAGGGACTGGTGGTGCACCAGGGGTGGGTTTGGGTGTAGGTGGGACAGAACGCGAGGATATTCCTGACCCAGAGACGGAGTTGCCGGAGGAAGTAGTCGACGAGCGACCGTGGTTGCTCCGATTGCGAGGCGCAGGAGGTAAAACCGTGGCGAGAGGTGGGATCGAGATCGGGGAACGCGCTGCGGGATCTTGTCTAAAGTGGATGAACAGAAAGGTGTTGGAACATGTGGGGTTTCAGGGTGAGTTGTCGTTTTTGGCCACATATGGTCATATTTCGCTTTTTTTCATTTGATCTCATTGTGCATTGACGCTGAAAACATGACTGGTGCTGCCACTTTGGGAGTATAGGTGCGTCGAACGCTGCGCTTGACGATCTAACGGGAGTAGCGTCCGAATTCCTTCTCAACCTCGGACGGACACTACGATTCCTCTGTGATAAGTACGCGCGTACTATGACCCCCGAGGTACGTTAGGTACTTTCTTGTTGTTCTGCGACGCGTACGGCAAAAACTGATGCTGCCGATATGACGACGTCAGGAACTTATTCTGCACGCACTCTTCGAGAGCGGTACCACCAGAATACAAGATCTCGAGCGGTATATCAAGGATGATATCGTGAGACACGGGGCACGGCTCGTGGAGCTAGAGAAGAAATTGGAGAACGCATATCGCGAAGCTGTAAGCTTCTTTCCCTGCTGCTCTCCGTGTCCTCTGATATATGACGTTGGCGATGAATTAGACGAGCACCGACGTCCTGGACGACGATGCGCTTTTCAGTTCAGATCAGGAGGAAGACGATGGACTTGCGATGGGTGCGTTCGCAGACACATTGGGGGAGGACTTCTTGGGTCTTCGAGAACTGGGTATTGCGGCGGAACTGGGACTTTCGAGCCTCAGTGTTCCGAGGAAGTTGCTCAAGGGGAAGAAAGACGCCACTGGTGGCGTCAAGTACGTGGATTCTCTTGATGTCGTTCTGTTGTCTCAATTTTTTTTTTCCTCCACTACTGCAGGGCAAAGCCGGCGGAAGTTCAGCTACCGTATCCACCCCCACCCTCGTTCATCCCTATCACCTCCAAGAACGTCGAGGATCAAATTGGCCTTCTTCGTCCGTACTACCATCAACGCCTCTCTTCACTTGCCGTCACTGCTCCCGCCGTGTCTGCAGATATTCCGAACGCATCTTTACCAGGAGTACTGCCTCTTCCGCCTCCACTCCCGCTCCCACCCTTCCCCTCTCACCCACTGGCGGGTGGTGGTGCTGCAGGTCCGTCCATGTTGTCAACATCCGCGTCTCAACAAGTGGGACCGAACCTGTCATCATCATCAACTTCTCAGCAATCATTACTGCCACTGCCACCACCATTACAGAACCCATCCCCGTCCATCATTGCGACACTACCTGACGATCCGCCGAATTCTGCACAGACTAAGGTTAATCCAATTGGGCAGGTTGTCAAGCCGAGTTCGGCAGCTACGACTGTGAAGAAGAAGGCGAAGGGGAAGGAAGGCGGCGGAGGCGGCGTTGGAGCGAGTACGAGTGGTGTTGTTACCGGCGTTGGTGTACCATTACCGGTGACAGCGGTACTCCAGTCTGAGACGGTACCAGATGGAGGAAGTGTTACTGGTGCTGGTGGTGTGGAAGTTGAGATAGTGGCAGGTGATGGAGCAGGCAGGGGAGGGACAGGCGGAGGTAAAAGTGCAAGTGCAAGTGCAAGTGAGAATCATGTGGGTGGGAGTGTGTCGCCGAGGAAAAGGGAAAGGATAGCTGATCTGCCTCCTGTCATTGCAGCGAGGGGTTGAGATAGCCTTGGCTTCCTGAGTTGGTGAATATCTGCACCAGCAGCATGAAATAGTTTGTGGGTTGCATAGCTACTGAAATATGTTTGTTGGTGCAATGGTTAATGCTGCAGTGAGAACCTCCACATGATACATGAGTGTACATGGAGGATTATTCTGGACACCAATTTTGTCCCTTTTATGTACATACAATTTATAATATATTGCATGGTTGGTTCTTAGAGTAGGTATTGAATGGGAGCATCATCTTCACATACTAATGTCTTGAGTGTTCTGACTTCTGTTGGAACATAAACTGCCACTGTTTGTTAGTACTTAGGTGTGATGCTAGTGATGAAAATGCAACCAGAACTGGGATTGATCCAGCAACCCTTGGTGTTAACCAGGTGCTCTAACCACTGCACTATATGGTCTGGGTACCAGTGTCAGTAGTTTGGGGGGTTAGACCACTGCTGTGGGGACAAATCTCCATGAAGAGTAATGCACAGAATGCACCATCTCCAATGGCATGTGCTTACTTAAGCATAAAAAGTGTGCATATTTGTAGTATTTCCTATAGTACATCAGCAAAACACAAAAATGTGTTAGTAACTCATAGCTGTCCATAGTATTCACACAATTCCATATTAGTCCAAAGCAGTATCAAGTATCCTAACAACTCATAGTGCCAGGTTAGACTACACCAGACCAGCCCAAAGTAGTGGCTGGCATCCAAGCATCTCATAGCATCTGAGCAAGCCACACCAGTGATACAGTTGTCAAGAAGTGATAAGGTTACATAAGTGACCAGCAAATGAGCAGTGGACAAACTGCAGATGAACCTTAGATGAGCCTTAGATGAACTGGCCCTTTTTCTTGTGCTTCTGGTTTTGACAGGTTATTCTTGGACATCATCAGGCCAGGTCTGCAAACTCTTTGTCCTCAACAATCATACTGGACTGTTAAGTCCAATCACATGTGGTTTCCTTTTGGGGGGGAATGTCAAGTATGGGTTTACCCTCGGGTGACCAGGCTTCATGACTGGGTGACAGGGGCTAAGTCCAGTTGACCAAAGTCAAGGCCAGGAGACAGGGGCCAAGTCCGACTGACCAAAGTCAAGGCCGGGAGACAGGGGCCAAGTCCGGTTGGACCAGAGTTGAGGCTGGAGGTCAGGGGCTAAGTCCAGAGGACCAGACTTAAGGCTGGGAGCACAGGAATAAGGCTGGTAGTGTGGGAAACTGACCAGTCTTGGAGTGCACACAAGGGGAAGCCAGTCTGGGGTTGGATCTACCTCCCTTGGTCTCAGCTTATGTGCTGTACCCTTATGCAAGCCAGGGAGAGGTCCAGGACAGGGGCCAGGGATAGCCTAAGGCTCGGCCTTAGCTAAAGAGTAGTCTTGTGGTGTAGTACAGGAGTTGAGGGTAATACTTAATTGATATTCTGACTGGGGTGCTACAAAGTATGTACAGGGGTTAAATACACGAGGCCAGTCCAGGATAATGAACATGAAGCTGGACTTGTGAATAAGCTATTAGTGAGATGATTAGCAAGACAAGGATAGCCACAGTGGCTATGCAGAGGCTAATAGCCAAAGTCTGGGTGACCAGCATAACCGGGGTTGGAAACAGGATTTGTACAGTAAGCAGAGTTAGACAAAAGGATGAGACTGAATATAGCACAAACAAAGGAAAACAGACCAGAGTTATGTCCAGGTGACCCAGACATGGACCTGGGAGGACCGGGGTGGAGCAGCACAAGGCTGGAAGGCTGGAATGGACCGGAGATAGGGGTAAAAGACCAGACTTGAGTTACTTAGGCCCAAGTTAGATTATTTAGGACCAAGGTTGTGTTCTCTAGGCCAGAGTTAGGTTCTCTAGGCTGGACTAGGACCAGACTTGACTGGAGATAGGGGCTAGGGGTCTGGACTGGGCTGGGATTGAGTCCGAGAGTCATGGATATGACAGGGAACTGCATGCATTGGGGTTCTGGCATTTTGTTTGTATTTGTTATGTCAGGAAGCATCATGCAGATGAACATGGACAGTGGCATGTGCTGCTTGTGTATTGATACTGCTGGGGCCAGTGATGTCATTGCCATCAGTTATGAATTTATTTGACAAGAATATATGCTGGACCATGTTACTACAGATGAGGAATTTACTGCTGAGTCTGTGTACCCTAGAGGATCATTGTTGGTATGTCATACAAACTCAGTGTGTGAGTTTGTGGAACAGTACCCCTTCCTGACATTGAAGGATATTAAATCTATTGTGGCATTTCACAGAGTGGTTCTGCTTTGTCATCTGTGCTGTCAGGGGTGTGTTGATGCCCTCCACATTCACAAGTGTACAGCTACTTGTCCATCACTGTTGTATGTGTTTCGACAGCTTAAAACTGCTTGGAGGGGGAAATGTCTCCTTCCTGCTTTGCAACCAGCAACTTCACTTGAGAGAAATGTTGCTGATGTTAGAGGTGTTGAGAGAAGTGCAAAGCTGGCTTGACATCAACAGTTAGTAAGGGGGGGATGTTGATGAGGGACTGTGTCCTTATCCCCCTATCAGATTGTTGAGCAAAAAGCTTGACATCATCTGTGATTGGCAGAACCTCATGTCACCACAGGGTCTTGCTGAGGGAGTTTGCACTTTCTGTGTGCAAACATTCCAGTGTTGTGATCTTTCAGATATTATTCCTTCCACTAAAATGCTTTTGGTGTTGAGGAATGATTGGTTACCAGTTCCATGTTGACCCTGGGCATATGACATAGAAAAATATCATGGAGTGATCCTCTGCCCATACAGTATGCATCATTTGGATGATGTCACTGAGGTTCAGATGTGCATTTCATGTCAAAAGGCATTGACAGGCAAGACCCCATGACAACCAAAGTGTTACATTTCACCCCTAACTTTTCCTCTTTACTGTATGGTTGCCTTGCTTTTGATCCGTTGGACTTAGTTTCCTTTTAGAGCTGTCTTCTCTCTGATCCGACAGCTCTCTATTCCCACCACTAGCATTACTAGCTCGTTACATGCTTAGGACATGTGTTGTTGTTGTTCAACCAATGGCGTAGTTACCTCGGGTGCATGAGGATGCCTCATGGTCCTCTTTCTGTAGTATTTAGACCGCCGGCTCAAGCCCTGGAAACCCAGACTTGAGCTGCTCAATTATACGCAGCATTCTCAGAACTTCGCCCTCAGTGTCCCTCACAAGGACCACTCTTACCAGCATTGCCCTAAATCCTCTGTCGTTTACAGAGGTTACTGCAGCCATTGCTCAGTAGAAACCTTAGTCTGCAATTCGAGCTCTCCCTACGTCTTGACTTCAGTTGAGCATAACAAAAGCTCAAGTCTCCAGCCTTTGGCCGAAACGGTCACTGCTTAGTGCACCACCACAAACCCCCGAAACAACCGACGTTGGGCGCCATTGCGACCCACTCGCGAAGAATCGTCATCTGACAAAGAACAGGAGAGCACTGTCACAGACACCTCCTCCAACAAACCCGAACAACCGGATAGAGGCTTTACCTCTGGTATCCTCTCGAACCTCTTCACCCAGTCCCTCGCTTCACTTGGTACACCAATCCCACCTGTACCTGCCACACTTCCTACACCCCCGATCCCCCCACCGAATATGATGTCCGGTTCATTGTCGAAGGGAATGACTGCCATCTCTGGAGTCAAACCCACCGAATTGAAGATTGATGCTCCAACTGATTTTGATGGAGACCAAAAGAATGCCATGAGCTGGCTGTACTCCATACAGACCTACCTCTTGGTCAATGAAGAATTGTATGACACTGACGCCAAGAAGGTGGTCTATGCCCTGTTGTACATGAAGAAAGGTGTCGCCCATTCCTGGGCTGCCACCTACCAGAAAATAGCTCTGGAGAAGACTACTCCCAGCTTCGGAACCTTCACTGATTTTGTGAAGAACTTTAAGGAGTCTTTCACCTCCACCGATACTGCAGGAACTGCAATCACTAAATTGCAGACCCTGAAACAGAAAGAATCAGTTGAACAGTATATCACCGATTTCCGAACTGCCACCGCTGACTCAACCATTATGGAGGATGTTGCCTTGATCGAGTTCTTCTCCCAAGGACTCAAACCTTTCATCGCAAACAGAATCCATATGATGGAAACCACTCCTACCAAGATTACTGAGTGGTACACCCAAGCGCAGAAGTTCAATGCAAAGTGGAGAAAAGTCAATGAATTCTCCACAAAGAAAGAAAAGAAAACGTTCCACCCAAGGAACAGTTTTGCCGAAGAAAAAGATCCAAATGCTATGGACGTGGATGGAGTGAGACTCTCCAAAGAAGAACAAGACCGTCACATCAAAGAAGGAAGATGTTTCGGTTGCGGGAACAAAGGACACCTCTCTCGAGAATGTCCAGACAAAGGGAAAATTCCCCAAAAGAAAGTAAAGAAAATCCGCAAAATTGTGGAGGTAGAAGAAAGCGACGATGAAGAAAAAGTCGCTGGTCCGTCCATCGCTCTGGTAAACATTGCTAGAGCCCTTGGGAAGGATTTTTGAATGGGAACTCTGTGTTGACGCCAGATGTTCCCAAAACTAAGGACAGTTTAGTTTCTGTTGCACCTGTACTTGTAACGTCTACACCAGAACGTACTACGCAGATCCCCGTTTCCCTCTATGCATCAGAAACTACCTCGAAAGTCGTCAACACTACCGCTCTGGTTGACTCCGGAGCAGAAATCTCCTGCATCGATTGGGGTTTTGTGCGAAAACACCAAATCCCCACTCAACGCCTCGCCAAACCCATCCTCGCCAAAAACGCCAATGGAACCCAGAACTCAAAAGGAAGAATATTGTTTTCCGCCACTCTCTACTTCAAAGTTAAAGGGCTCGTCCACCAGTCCTTTTTCCATGTCATCAATTGTGGAACAGAAAATGTCATTCTGGGTCTCCCCTGGCTCCAAGAAAACAACCCTGTCATGGACTGGAGGATGGGCACGTTGTCTATCGACGAGAAAACCGATAGATCAAAGGAATTAAGACACAACGTCTCTTCCATTACCATCAAGGAACCAACCATGAATCTTGTGTCCCCTGCTGAAAAGAAAGGGATAAACAAATTCATGGACTATGAAGAACCAGAGGACGAAACCATCTGAGCACACTTCATGATGTCGGTTGGAAAACTTGTCGAAGAAGCCAAGAAGATTAATCCCAACAATAGTCTTCTTCAAAAGATCACCACAGCTACGGAGCTAGCTGTCATATCCATGACTCTCGGACTCGGACTCAGCCCAGTCCAGACCCCTAGCCCCTAACTCCGGTCAACTCCGGTCCTGGTCCAGCCTAGACAACCCAATCCCGGCCCTAGATAACTCAACTCCAGCCTGCATAACTCAAGTCCGGTGTTTTACCCCTATCTTCGGTCCATTTCGGCCTCCTGGCCTTGTGCTGCTCCA